CCGGGATTACAGGCGTGCGCCACCATGCCTGGCTCCATTCCTCTTTTTGGTGGAATTGAAACTATGTAGCCTTCTTAAATCAGATAAGGAGTCATAGTTATTGACAATAAAAGGCTGAAAAATACTGTTCTGTTAAGTTAAGCATGTTAACTTTGTTAAGGATAATAAAATTAAAATTTTACAGGAAAACGTCCTTTTTAAAAAAAATGCCAGCTGGAAATGGACTCAGTATTGAGATATCTAACCCACCATAAGCTATTTCCATAGACATACAAAGAGATGAATACACAATGATACACAAAGGCATGTACACGAAAAACAAATGTGGCAAAATGTTAACTGTCACTTCATCTTGGAGCTGGGTTTACTGGTATTTAATTCCCTTCTTGTCTTTGGTGATCTATACATTCAAAAATTTCATAGTAAGTATTTTTTTTTTTTTTTCCCCCTCCGGTACCAGGAACCGAACTCACAACCTTGCGCTTGCCAGGCAGGTGCTTTTGCCGCTGAGCTAAATCCCCAGCCCCCATAGTAAGTATTTTTAATGTATGTTTATCGCCCATCCCTTTTTTAAAAAAGAGTAGTGTGCAAATAAAAGGTATAAATAATTTCTGGGAAGCTTTGGTATGATTGTCCAGATGCAGTCTCACAAACTTGTTTTCTATTTTCTTCTTTTACTTTGTAAAAGTACAAAATGTATGCTTTTTGCGTACATTTTACATTCAGAAAGAATTACGCTAATACAAAATGGTTTAAATTCAGAACTCACTGCAGTGTTCTTCAAATAAAAAAGCAGCATAAATGCCAGGGTTCTGCTCTCACCTGTGGTGAAGACCTCGCAACTTACAGCTTTCTGTCAGCATCATGGTCACCTGGATTTCGGAGGCGTGATCTGTGTCCAGAAAAGAAACAGTCTGAATGGCCAATCCATATACAGATATAGAGTTATATATATCATCTTAGCAAATAATTACTACCTTGGATCATAAGGTAAATTCTCATTACAAATTACAGGTAAATCTAAAAAGACTTAGCTGAAACTATTGCAGTAGTAAGAGCCACAACAAATAGCTCAATTTACCTAGAAAATTTTACATAAATATTAGAAATTCAACAAAGTAGAAGAAGCAATAATAGATTGGAAAAATATGTACAACACGTAAGTCATACAAAAGACTAATTTCCTTTTTTCTCCTTTAAAGAGCTCATCCAAAACAAAAGTAAGTAAGTATGAGGCCAGGAGTGGGTGGCACACACCTATGATCCCAGCACTCAGGAGGCTGAGGAAGGAGAACTGCCATGAGTTTGAGGCCAGCCTGGGGCTTATATAGCGAGTTCAGGGCCAGCCTGAACTACAAAGTGGGACCCTTTCTCAAAAACAGAAAGAAAAGAAACTGGTGGAGGATATAAACATTTTACTGAGTGAAGAAAAAAACAAATGACCAACAAAATGATTCTCAGCTTTACTCCTCACCCTAAGAATACAAATTTAAGTAGCAAATGGGCAAGAGTACACAGAAAAAGGCTCATCAATAGCACCTTGTGGAGGAGGGGAAGCAACAGGCAACAAATTTTTAAAATGCATATATACTCTGCATCATCAATCCCACTGGAATATTCAAAACAACTAAAGTAACATCAACAGAACCTAATTACATTGGTACACTGGAATGTCCTGCAGCTGCTTTTTAAAAATGAAATGGGTGTGGGCTGCAGTTATAGTTCTGTGGTGGAGCTTGGTTACTGTGGTCAAGGTCCTGTGTTTGATCCTCAACACCGTAAAACAACAAAAACAAATTTAAAAAAGACAGGTTTACATGTACTGACAGAAGGATCGTTTAAAAAGATACAAATTAAATTTTAAAATCCAGGCGCAAACGTCTATTTGTGTGATCAGTTAAGTTTTAAAAACAAGATTACTTTTAAAAAATGTACTTGTAAACATTTTTCCGTTACCTGTGAGAGAATCATAAGAAATTGTTTTTTTGTTTTTTTTAAAAAAGAAATTGTTTATGGTGGTTACTTTTATTGACAGAAAAATTTACACATTGTACCCTTCTATTTACACTTTCTAACCTTACAACTATAAAAACATGATAAGAGTTCTGATTGGAGAAGGTGGTCCTTTTTATTATTTTCTTCTTCTTCTTAACTCTCTGGTTAAAAACAAATGTGGCTAATATAAAATCAGTAGAAAGGTAATAGCTATAAGTAGGATATTGTTATTGCATTTAATCTGTAGTTTCTAAATTCATGGGTTTGGGCCCAAAGCAGCAAACAGAACTAAAATTGAATTTTATGTCAATGTTTTTGGAAAAAAAAAAAAAAAAAACAACTGGATAATACAGTTACCAATATCTTTTGTATCAGTATATAAAACTATCAAGTATCTGTACAAATTCACAGGGATTCTTTATTTTATAGGGACCACTATCTTAATAGTACAAAATTTTTCCACTTATTTGCCACTATTTGAACTGAGTAGTATATTCCATCATAAAACTGAACATGAATTTCAATTTTAAAAAATAACTTTTAAATACTGACCACAAACTTGAGTGCAATAATGTATTTTTAAAAACACTTTCAAAGAAACCCACTAATATTTATGTCAACAGTAAATATAATAATTACAATTGTGAGAAAACAATTCAAGAGATTGGCAAAGGCAAGATCCACACATTCCAGACCCACCTACTAAAATGTTGAACCAGCAACAGTAAACACTCTACTGAGCCTGGGCACTATACACTCCTCAAAAGTAGGAACTGTCAAGGATAAGAAGTCTCAAATTGAATCTGCCTCCAATCCTACTGGAATCCCACTCCTTGCCTCATTCCCTTGTCCGTAACTTGTTATTTGTGCACCCTTTGTAGACAACTTTTCTTAGGTAAGACTTCTCGGAATGTAAAATGGGTAGATTGATGCCATGAATTTGACCCACTTTTTAGGAAAAGGAGCTTCACACCTCCCACCACTGTCTGCTAGAATAAACTCCAGTTGTTTACAAATTGCTTAAAATTTGGGATCCTTTTTTAAGTGGCCAATTGTCCTTTGATGGTCTATGGTCAGAACTATTGGGAGCTGGGGGGATCTTGTGACCACTGAAAACTAGTAACAGCTGGCAAGTCCCACCCACTTATGAGTTTACCTTCTCCTCAACCAGTAAGGGGATCCAAGACCAACAAAAGGTTCATTTCAGGATATGTTATTTCACACATATTTTTTTCAAGTTTAATTTTGATAAGAATGTTTTATTAAGCAAGGCTCAACTGAACTGGATTAACTAAGAGATTTTTTAACTCTAGAAAAAATATCTACTAAGGAAAATTGATTTTCTTGGTTTTCTTTCCCAGTCTAGCTTAGTCTTTTAATTTTAAATAGCGAAAGGTCCATCCTCAACATCCAGAAGGTTACTATAAAATAACTTACATTTTAAAGATTACAAAGAAACACAAAACAATAAAGGAAAAGCCTTATTTCTAAAACTGCAAAAATTTACCAACTATTTTTTTTTTTTTTTTTGGTTTTTCTCCGGTACTGGGAACCGAACTCACGACCTTGCGCTTGCCAGGCAGGCGCTTTGCCGCTGAGCTAAATCCCCAGCCCATACCAACTATTAAAAAAATAAGAATTTAAAGCCAATAATCCCAAACAGATTCATTTATTTCATGGAATTCATTTTCGTAATACTTATGTAAGATTCAGTTTTCCAATTTCAATCCCTGGAAATTTATACTGAAATATCTGCTAAGTCTAAACAAAATTTTAAAAATTTTAAAAAGCTAATCTCCAATTTCCTGCTTATGCCTAAAAGCAAAAATCAAGGATCTTTAAAAGACTGTCTTCTCCATTTTACAAAGAACTTCTAATCCTGCAAGGAGTAAAGCACACAGATTGTGAAGGAACTCGGTCAGCTCTAGTAGCTTCAATTAAAAAAAATAAAAATAACATTCCAAAAGAACAAATCTCAGAGACAATCACATGGAGATATCACTCACAATTCTGAGCCAGAACTCTGGTGCACTTCCTCTCTATCCCTACGCAAACACCGAGTACATGCTGGCTAAGGACTTACTGTGCTTTCGCTCATTTCCGTCAGCTCAGAAAGAACATTAGAATTACAACAGTAAGGCAGAGAAACAGCCAAGAAACGATAACTCAAGTATACAAGGAAGGAGAAACCTTATCTTGGAAAAGAGTTCCAGTATTCACATTGTATTTTCTTATCATTTCTATTTCCTTTTCTTCCCCTTCCAGTCTTAAATCAGCCCAATTCTGTATGGAAACCTCTTTTTGTTAATACAAGATTCATACAGAACAAATTAGAAGCAGCACAGTTCAAAGCCATCCACAGAGTATTTAATAATCCTAGAAGAAATATTAGAATTAAGGGGAAAAGTTTCCTTTCTTTAAAAAAATGGGAAAACAAAAGGCAGCTGTTTATGGTTCAAATTTTACATTTACAAAAGGAAATATGTACATTATCCTTCAAAATTAGTTGGATAACTTATTGTCTGGGGGCTGTCAAGGGGTGGGTGAATAAAACAAATATTAAATGATTTAAGTTAAATCATTTGTTTAAAAAGATAAAGGTTGTGCGTTGTAGTCTATTTTTGTAGAAGCCTTAAAATAAGAAATCTGCTAAATTAAATTCCAAAGTTTTTTTAGATTGGTACAACCTAACATTTTAGAAACAATAAACATAAACCCTTCAACTTTCCAAGTAGTCCTTTAAGTAAATTTAGAAACACAGTTCTTATTAACTTTATAAACCTCTTAAAATTGTCACCTCCTACTCACAAAACTGACTTTTTTTTTTTTTTAAACTGACTTTAAACTGGGTGTGGTGGCACACACCTGTAATCCCAGCACTCAGGAGGCTGAGGCAGGAGGATCGTTGAGTTCAAGACTCACCTGGGCTACAAAGTGAGCTCAAGGCCACCCTGAACTGCAAAGCAAGACTGTCTCAAAAAGATAAAACAAACAAACAAAAAACTGACCTTAATTTTTCCCCTCAACTTTTGCCTTTTAAGTATTAATTTGCTTTTCAGAAATTAGTACTGTGTAATCTCAAACCATATTGGACAATGAGAGACATTAAGCACCCTATATATTACCACATTTTTCTTACTCTCAAAATGAGCAAATAAAAAGAATTAACTAACTGGGGATACAGGATGAAGGCCTGGGTTCAATCCCTAGAAGAAAAAAAAATTAAAAATTAAGAATTATTTAAGCCTTCAAATATCAGTGGCACATTACCAAAATTCCAAAAGTTTTTAAGAGTCACTAAAGGGAAAAAGCTGTATATAAATAACACTGTAGTATTTTGATAGGGAATCTCTAGTTGAGTAATTTACATAAAACAAACAAAAAATTAGGCATCACCTTCCAAAAAGTAGTGCAAAAGTTTATGTGAAAGCAGATATTCTGACCATGAAAATACAAATCAGAGCTCTTTAGCGAACAATCTGACAAGCCCTATTAAAAATTCAAATGTATATATTTGTTGGGCCAACAAGTCCAACTGTGTTCCAGCTACACCTGCAAAAGTATACCAAGAAACACACACATGCACTTTCTGGAACACCATACAGTGCATGAGAAGAGAGGGGAGGAGGACTGAAAGGCAGCATGCCTAGCTACTTAAGGTACTGGGGGCTTGAGGGTAATAATTCTAATATTTTTCTTTATAGACTGCAATACTGGGACGGAAAAACAAATGGCAATGTCTTTAAGGAGGGAAAAGATGGTACCAGAGAGTTTTGTTCTTTGTTGTTTTCGTTACTATTATCACTTTGTGTATTTGCTTTTGCTGTAGGGTCTCGCTATGTAGTTTAGGCTGGCCTCAAACTCCTGACAGTCATGCCTCAGCCACCTGAGTGCTGGGATTACAGGCAAGTTGCACCACGCCTGGACTCCAAAGAGTTTTAACATAGGATTTTTCCTTTAATTACAGCAACAATGAAGTCTAGTGGATGCAATTTAACTGGAAGTCAACATAATAACTAGTAATTCTTTAGTATCTTAATTTATAAAGCTTTCTATTTTCTATACCTAATGAGGACAATCCAAATCTCTTCAAAAGTTAGCCTCATCCAAGGTAAAGTAACGTAGACTAATTTATAAGGTCCAGAAAACTTTGAGAAACTGACGTAATTTCACTGGTATGAGCCAATAATAGGAAAGCATTATAGAAATAGTATAGAAAAAAAAAACCCACCTTTAACTGTTTTTACAAATGTATGTTTTTCTTTATTTGGATCTTTTTCATCCACTAAAATCCCATGAAAAATACGCCCAAAAGTACCTAAAAGGAAAATAGTAATTAATGAGATCATACAATAGCCTTCATCTCGTTACAGTATAAAACAGCGTCATGACAAAACTTAAATACAACAGTACATGTGATCAGTAACATCCTTCCAGCCCAAAAGCACAATGACACAAATTGTTAACACTGAACAACTGTTAGAAGTCCTTTGTAACTATGAAATGTCTTAACCTGCTTTCAGAAACATCATATCTAACTAAACCAAGTATATGAGAATTTTTTCTCAATTATCCTAAATAAAACAATAACATAGCCAGGAACACTGCAGCTCCAAATCATTTGAATTTCTAAAATTAGACTCAGACCAATGCTGAAGAAAAATAGATTTCCTCTGTACTAGCGCAAAGCTTTAAAAAGTAACTTGCAGAGAGGCCTCGAGGGGTACAAGTCTTGGATGTAGACACCCTGGATTCCCGTCATTCTACTGCTCTCTACTTAAAAGGTCTCACAAGTTGCGTGGTCCCACAGGTTACTGGTAAAATGTGTTCCTAAAAACTCTAAAGAGGAGAAACTATTATCTTTTTGGAGGCAAAGGAATAACTTAAAAAATGAACTATACTGGGCAACTGAGTGAGACCCTGTTTCAATTGAAAAAGGGCGAGGCACATATCTCAGTGCAAAGGCCAGGGTTCAATTCCCAGCAACACAAAACAAAAACAACACCAAAAACTATGGAGAGACATAAAGGTGTTATTAGCAATTTTTTAATCGCTTAAAAAAAGCTTCTTAAGAGATAATCATTGAAAATTAATCTTGTGCCACTCTTTCTCACAAAATAATTCTAACTCTCCCTTCTTCACAAATTAAAAAAAAAGCCCGCAATAGTTTTGCTTTGCTGCAGATCCACACACACAAAGGAGGCTTATTATTGGGGCTGGGGATTTAGCTCAGCGGCAAAAGCGCCTGCCTGGCAAGCGCAAGGTCGTGAGTTCGGTTCCTGGTACCGGAGAAAAAACAAAACAAAAAAAGACACGGAAAGACAAAGGAGGCTTATTTTAATGTCTGCCACACTCGGTAGTGAAGCTCTGATGCCCAAGTAACTTGGGTGCTTGAGAGAGAAATATGTCAGATAATCTTCATTTCAGACAATCTGCATGGAGCTGAATAAACATCTTCCAACGCGCTGGTCAATCCACTGTCAGAGCCGATATCCTGGCCTAGCAGTGTCTTCCTCTTTAAGGTCTTCCTTGCTGTCCCATTCAGCTTCTTAAACTCTCAAACAGCACTGCAAAAGCTCCTATCCTGTCTCCTCTTTCCCTACTTAAAATATTCCCAAACATGCATTTTACATATGTTTAAAAACAAATCTTACGGAGGTGGGAACATATACTGAAGTACTTCTACTTCACCATGTCACAGGAATTCATATTCCTACCAGTGATGTGTACTCATAACCCTGTCAGTCTGGATATTATCTATCTCTCACTCTTCCCAATCTGACAGTAAAAAGTGGCACGAAACTCATGTTTGATTTGTACTTATCGGATGTCCAGTGAATCTCAATACTCTTTAAGATGTTAATGAGCCATGTTTTCTTTTCTGAAATAAGCATAGTTTAAAAGCTGGGCCAGGGATGTTGCTCAGTGGTGCCTTGCCTGCCTGGCAAGCACAAAGTCATGAGTTCAATTCCACGTACCAAAAAAAAAAAAAAGTAAACTATTATAGTCCTGGTAATATCTAGAAAAACTCTTTCTGAATATCCTCTTTTCCTCAAATTATACCACAATAAATTACTTATATTATCCCATTTAAAGGCCAAAAGAAGCTGCAAACATAGTCAACCGTTGTCTCTCACTTCTGAGACTCTTCAGGAAAAGCTACCTGGTTACTTAGAAAACAGAAGTGGTAGTTATACAGTGAAAACTAAGCCCCCCAACAACAACAAAAAAAAACCCAACCCACTTCCATTAATGACCATTTGCACTGGGGAAGGTTTAAGTCCCTCCTTTAGCTATGATTTGCTTACAACATCCCCAACAATAGAAGGACTCCTAAGAACCCACAACATTCTAACCTGAACTATAACAGGGGGAAAAAAAGTAATTCTTTGTTCAATGTGAAAAGCTCAATGCAGTATTCCATCATTAATTTCTGTCCCCATCTTTGAGCATCTCCCTAAATAAATACCTTAAAACTCAAAAATCAGGACCAGCAAGAGGGGAAGAAAAAGGTACTATTATCTATCAAATACTCTTACATGTTAACTCATGTAATATACATCATTTCATCTAGTCTTCTTAACTAGTCTAAGAACTATGAAGACTACTATATATAGCACAATATAGTCTACATTTATAGAAGAGGAAACTGGAAGTCTAAGGCATCAAATGACTTCTCTAAGGTCAGACAGGTAATAAATTCTAGAACTAGAACTTGAGTCTAACTCCAAAGCCCCATTTCACCTGGAAGAACCCCTACATTATCTGTCAGAGAAAAAGCTTAAAATATTTCAAAGACCACTTCTACATAGTGATCATTTTAAATAAGAACAAAATATAAAATATACCTTAAAGGTATCAAACACATATATATGCTTTCATATACTTGAAAATCAAGAAATGCACCAAAGCTGTATAAGACACGTTAAAATCTAAAGAAACGAAAAGTGAAAATCATTCTTTGAAAAAACTGATCTTGAGATAATAAGTACCTTCCTGGAGAACATCTTTCAGTGTTATCCTCTCCCTGGATATTGCTATATCCTTCACTTTGGCTTTGGCTTCCAACAGTGTGACACTTCTCAGGTCGTTCTTCTCTATCCGCAAGGTAGGATAACCTGAGGAGCCAACAAAGCCAAACCAAGCAATATAAATACCCTTATTATGGTAGTGGGGTCAATTGGTCCAGCTTCCTTTAAAACCTTGAAAGAAAGCAGGCATACACATGAACCACAGAGCTCCATGTAAAGGACAGTAAACCTTAAATGCTTTGTTACCTCCCACAAAACTACTCCCAAATGTTAAAATACACAATTAAAATAATGCTAAAAATACTACTACTACCATCACTTCAAATGCTTCTCAGCCAAATGAAACAAACTTCGATTTACAGAATATAATTTAATGCCCCCAGGACAGTTTCTCTCTTGAAAGATGTTTTAATATAGTCATATAACAAAAAGATTTTACAAATGAAGACATATTTGAAAAAAAGATCTTTTCTAGCCAAGTAATTATCAATATGATTACTCTAATATTCCCACAGCCTAGTGGTCACACCACTGTGAAATTAAAATTTAAGTTCCTTTAATTCCCATTTATTCTTAATGTAATGACAGTAAAAATAAAATACAGAGCCTCAAATTAAACTTTTCAATGCAAGAAAACATGTTAGGATAAAAGGAAGATCCAGGCTAGCAAACACAACCTGGAATGATATCCCTACTGATTAGCTTTGGTGATTCCGGGAAGAAAAATGCCTGAAGAACTAATGCACCTATGCAGTGACCATCACTGGCTGCCAGAGGGCTTGGCAAAGCAAAAGCAAGAACACTCCACAGGCTGCAAATCCCGGCCTGGGGTATGAAACACCCAGCTGCCTTGCTTTTGGCAAGGCTAATGCTTCATCAGTGGATTTAGGGGGTGACCTGGTTCTTCAGTGGTAAAGTTCCCTAAATCCCTTTATTCCTACGGTTTTAATCACTCATGATCTTTCTTGAATGACGTAATTTGTTAGAGGTTGTAAATGGGATTTTCTAATTCTATCATTCCTTCTACATTTAGTAGACGGAATCTCCCATAAAGAAACATTGTCCCTCATCAATCAGCAGTATCTGTTTACCCTGAAATATAGTTCATATAGCCAGTAGTTAGAATGTTGTCTCTCACAATGAGCAATTTTTAAAAGAGTAATACAAATTTATAAAATACTACACACTGTATGTTTCCATCTATTATAGTTACTATTCTTTCTCTTTAATGGTTCCACCTTTGGCCAATGAGAGGTCTTCAAGTCTTTAGTAGCTTGTCCCAGACCTGGAATCAGCCATCGGTCCACAGAATTCTTATTTTTTGGAATGGGAAGCAGTACTGAGAACTACAATGGGGCACTGGGGAGTGGGCAGATATTCCTAACATTATTTTATTAAGAGTAAATGTCAGCTCAAGGAATATAGGTAATTGCTTATAAGATCCTAATTAATAAATGGTACCTCTGAATCAAGCCATAACCCTTGGCTTTCTGGCCCACTCTTTATTTGATGATTATGTTGTTTTATATTTGTACGTAACTAATTCCTCATTATGTGTAAATTATACTCTAAGAATTGACTGTTTTATTCCACAGTGTACACATGTATCATAACATCACTGTTAGGACTTATCTAGATGTCCCCCCAAAGCCTCTTGAGGTTGTAGGTGGGCTTTTCAGAGGTGGCTAGATCTAGATTGTATGATGTTGGGATTAAGTGTGTGATGCTGGGATCAAGGATGTGTGATTACTAAATTAGTCTACTGGTTGGTTTGGCATAGTTCTGGATGTGGACAATGGGAAACCCCACCCTGGGTGTGAGCCCACCCTGAATAGAATATATGGGACATGGCTGGGCGTGGTGGTGCTGCCCATAATCTCAGCACTTGGGAGGCTGAGGCAGGAGGATGACTGTGAGTCTGAGGCCAGCCTGGGTTACAAAGTGAGTTCAGGGCCAGCCTGAAGCGCATAGTGAAACCCTGTCTCAAAAAAATGAAAAACAAAAAAACACACAAAAGAATATATGGGACAAAAAGAGGGCTATTGTCACTTCTTGCTTGCTATTTCACTGATGGCTGCCTTCTGCATGCCCTGCTTTGCCATGAACTATTTCCCCTCTGCCTGGCCACCCTGCCTTGGAGCCAGGTGACTATGGACTGGAACCTCTACAAAGTGTAAAACAAAATAAACTTTTCCTCCTTTAACTTTAGGTGTTCAGTATTTTGTCTCAGCAATACAAAAGAGTAAGACAATCACGTTACATATCAGATATACAAAAATTTGTCAACCAACAATTTAAAAAGGACTTACTTTCCACAAACATCTATATATTGAAGTGTGTGAAAAACATTCATCAAAATCTTTTTCAATGAAAGGAAATTAAGTCCCATGTTCTCAATTTTCCAATGGCAGCTAGCTTCCTAGTATGATGAGAAATCACTGTAGGGGCTGGTGATATAGCTTGGTGGCAGAACACCTCCATGCACGAGGGCCTGGGTTTAATCCCAGCACAAAACAAATGAAAACTGTAAAATTTTTACATGGCCTATCAGACCATCGACTAATTCACTGAAACCCAAAGTCTCTGTGCTTATGCAGCTGAACAGCTTATTCTATAGAACTACTTGAAAATTTTCTTTCTAAATGTCTACAGAATTAATTTCTTAAGGCTTTAATATAATTATGGCTATCTCCTCAAAGTAAAACTAATCCTAGCAATTAAGCTTTACAATTAATATTCCAATTTTTAGAATATTTCATTACTGCTTTAATAAAAACAAAAACTCTAATTTGCACAAGTCAGGTATCACACACCCACATGGTACATATGTCCCACAAGTACACTAAACACGAAGGGCCACTAACCCGCCACAGGACACTGGTAACCACGTTAGAATTAATTAACTCTTACTGGTGATGGGTGTTGCGTTGTTGGGTGTGTCGGCCCTCAGGTACTGAGTCGTCTGGGTGGATGGCTGAGACAGCCCTTGGGAGCTACTGCTGGCACTGATGCTGCAAATTATTTTTAAAAGAGAAATATTTGACAAGTTGGTTTCGATGAGAAATTTCTTTTTCATACACACAAAATGTACATAGCATTACAACCTACTGAAAATCCTGATTGGAGGTTGTAATAATGTGTGGATCTCTGTATTACAATGTTCCATATGGAAACTTCAATCTCCCACACTGTGTATAGTTCCATTTTTTTTCTTTCATTTCTACCTCCAAATTCATCAAGCCAGGTCATTTTACCAAGCTCACTCAGAAATATAGGTGCTAGTCCTCAAGACACCAGGCCTAAAGCACTCAAAGATATGGCAGGGAACTATGGATCACCTCTCAAGAAAAAGCCCATACTATTCAATAAACCACTTTCTAGAAAAGTAGACAGACAGGCCACTTTTATCTTTTTTTTTTTGGTACCGGGACTCGAACTCAAGGCCTTGTACTTGCCAGGCAGGCGCTGAGCTACATCCCCAGCCCATCAGGTCATTTTTAATGAGGGCTCCAAATCAAGTGGCCAAAAGATGAGGGAGAACAAATCAAATCAAAGGACACTAAGATCAGATCTTGAGAAGAAGTATATCTGGTTCAAGTTTTTTTAAGTCACATATAAGCTGGTTTTTTTTTCCAAACCTCACTTTTTAAAGAATTGATAGATGTTCTCATATTCCAGTGATACTTGATACCCATTTTTATAGCAGTCCAATTCATAATAACTAAATCTTGGAAATGGCCTGTATGTCTGTCAACAGATGAATGGATAATGAAAATGTGATATTTACACACAATGGAGTACTACTCTGCCATAACAAAGAAAAAACACCATTTGTTGAAAAATGGATCCATCTTGAAACCACATTGCTGTAAGACACATAAGCTCAATATCACATTGTTTCTCATATATGAGAAACCCAAAATATAAAGAGCAAAGAAAAAAACAGATAATAGAAAATAGGGAGATAGATCTTTTGTGAATAAGAAGGAAATCAAGAGATGGAGGAAGAAGGAAAGGACGGGAGAGGAAAGGGATGAAGAAAACAGTTCAGGTGTGTTCCGTACATTTACAATTCCCCATAAGGAATGTGATTGGAAAATGTCCTGGAAATATGTACTAATAAAAAATGAAAATTGAAAAAAATTACAAATGTTCACAGAAATCTCTAGTACGTGGATCACTACAGCACTCTCCCAAATAAACCAGATTTAGAAGGTGGTAGGCTCAAGTAATTGCTAACCCTGTGCTTGTGTCTACTACAGGCTAATGGTTGCCAAGCATGTTCTGTCTTTTCAGTGGGTAACAATTCATCTAAAGTCTCCCTCTGGCGTACTCCTGTCTCAGTGACTCAGCCCTTGTAATTCTGCAGTAGTAGAAAAGCGAAGCACAGAAACTTAGCATGAAGAGTGAAAGCAGAGGTTGGGCATGAGAGGTGCAGCCTGTAATCGCAGCACTCTGGGAGATGGAGAAGGAAGACTGCAAATTTGAGCCCAGCCCAGGCAACTTAGCAAGAACCTGTATCAAAAACCCCTGGGTTCAGAACCCAGTTTCAAAACCAAAAGTCAGACGGCAGGACAGGCCTTTCATGCCACTCTCAGCAACAGGATTAGGAGAGTCTGGGGGCTCCAACGTTCCAGATGCAAAGTCTTTAACTGACCACACTCCACAGACAGCTATATTTGCAATATCTGGTTTTAAAAACACATAATGACAAAGCATCTATGCAATCTGCAACTTTTATATATGAATCTATATTTTATCAATTCCAAGAGCTCATACATACATCTGAAAAATGTAAATAACATCCAGGCAATGAGTGCTGTAAGCCCCTATGTAGTCTTTTTATCATTAATAATACAATCCGTTATTTGCAATTATAATTAAAACACTTCTGGAGAAGTCACAGTAAAACTTAAGACACGAATATCCTCCAGCAAATATCTGGAGCACACCTATACATAAGCTATCCTGCTCAGCACACCACATATCTGAAAATGCCTACCTGTCTAATGAAATGCTCAATACAGATTCCTGTAAAATTGGCTATAACTTCAGATTATCTACCTCCTGTGAGACTGTAGTAAGCGGTTTCCTCAGCAACCTTGAAGATACTATGCGACAATGAGACTATCACAAATTGCATCATCTGATGAGTCCTAGAAGAACTTTAAAGGATGGTAGTTACTCAAGACTTGATCTATCTGAGTCACACATGTAGTAGGCATGGGGCAGTGCATTACAAAGACAGAAACGTAAATCTTCAAGTGAAGACTGCCAGCACCAACAGCAGCTGTCTGACCCTAGGCAAACTATTCTAACCCTTTGGGGCCTCAAATTCCTCATGTACAGAAATATAATACTAAATCCTGACAAGTCTGTTAAGATGATTATGTGAAATATTATTAAAAGTAAAGCCACAGTGCCCAACTCTCCAATATACACTTAGAAATTACTACCGTTTTCATTGTGATGATCCATCTTCAATCCTTGTAACGGTACTGACTGTAGACGGTAAATCTCCCAGGCCTGAGTACTACTAAACAGACCAGCAATCAGTTGTTAGAAGTTGAGTATTCCGTGATGGGAGAGAAGCATTACCATCCTCAAAGTGAGAAGAAATAAAGGATTTCTGATGACTCTCCCACGAAATGGAATTAAGAAAATCTATCTCAGGAGATTTTTGTGAGGCTAACATTTATGATGCACATGAAAGCACAGCTAAAACACTACCTGGAACCAACACTACTGACGGCTGAAAAAATGCAAAGACCCCATTTCTTCCCATTAACTCAACAGTAGGTGGCACTCTTGTGCCACCTCAGAATTACTCACAACAGGGTGAGCAGTCACAAGAGCTATGGATCAGCGTATCTACATCAATTTCATTCATTCAGTAGGTGCCAGGTGAAGAGGGAGGAGAAAATCAGCAATAAGCAAAGCACTATGCTAAGCAGGCAGAACAAACTTGCTTTGGAAACTAACACTGCTGTCACAGAGGCAAGGAGTAGTTGGGGAACCTACCCAACACCTATTAAAACTCATAGATTCATAGATGTATCACGGAACATGGAAAGGGAGTTTAAAATGTGTATCTGCTAACACTTACTAGTTTAAGACCAGCCTGAGTGAGTTTGGTTTTCACAAGCAATAAGATCAGTTACAGAGATACTAACCCTGCTTTAAGATCAACCTAAGATCTTAGGCAAAGATCATGATGCTCTTTTAAAGTGCTAAATTATAATTCCTATTTTTCTAGGTAATTCAATTATTTGCTCATTCATTCAACAAATACTAACTTTCTACTACACCCCACGTGCAGTGTTGGGGGTGGAGATGTAGCAGTGAATACAGCAAAGTTTCCTACTCTACATTCCAGTTGGGATGGCATGTTTAATTCCTAGAAGACTATAAACTCTAGTTCAGTGCATGGTGATAGACATGGGTCATTTTAGTTTCAAAATGTGCAGAGCTAGTTTTCCCAGCAGCATTTATTAAAAAGGCTGTCTTTCTGCCAGTGAAGCTGTTCTGCCCCTTTGTCAAAGATAAGGTGGCTGAGTGTGTTTGGAGTTGTTTCTGCATCTTTTAGTCTCTTCCAGGTCTGGGTTTTTGCCAGTGCCATGCTGCTCTTTTTAATCACAGTAATTTTACAGTATAATTTCAAGCCTGGGACTGTGATGCCCTCTGCTTTGCCTTTGTTGCCAAGAATTGTTTTTGCTATTCTAGGTCTCTTCTGGTTCCAAATGAATTTTAGGAATGTTTTCTCTAGTTCTAGTAAGTGAGGTATGTTAATGGCATTTTGATTGGGATTGTATTAAATCTGTGTAACAAGTTTGGAAATACGGCCATCTTCATTATGTTGGTTCTTCCTACCCATGAGCAAGGGATATCTTCCCATTTTCTGATATCCTCTTCAATCTCCTTTTTCAGAGTACTGTAATTTTCAATGTACAGATCTTTTACTTCCTTTGTTAAATTGATTCCTAAGTAATTCATTTTTTTGGCTGTTATTGTAAAAAGTGTGGTTTCTCTAATTTCTCTCTCAGTGAGTTTGTTGTTTGTGAGACATTTCTAGGTAAATGGATGCGCCTTGAGACCACACTGAAATGAAATAAATCAGACACATGTAAATATCGCACTGTCTCCCTGGTACGAGAAACCGAAAGAGTAAATAAGGACCAAAATGCACAACAGATATTGTGAAATAGGAAGAAACTGTTCAAAAGGAAAGAGGAACTAGGGAGGAAGGAAGGGGAAAGGAAGGGAAAAAGAATTATAAAAGAAAAATAAAATGGAAACAAAGCTTTGTAAGTAAGGAAGAGGGGCTGGAGGAGAGGGGATTGGGAAAAAAAGAGGAGTCAAGATATATCACATACAGGTATAAACTTTCTACAATGAGTATGACCAGTATGTACATTTAAATGTACCAATAAAACTAATAAAAGTTAAAATTTAATGAAAAAGAAACAAAAGGCATCCAAATTAGAAAAACAAAAAAGACTATAATCCCTAGGAGGGCAGGAAGTGTCTTACTTACTCAGCCCTCCCAGCACTTAGCCAGTGTGGCAAAGTAAGTCCCAAGTGGATCAAACTGAGCCCCAGTGAGAGCTCAGAAAGCAAGGAATTAATCAATATAAGAGAAAACCATGCTTTCACGGAAGAGAAAAACATAAACTAAACGTGAGTTGCTAATATATACTGAAAAAGGCAAAGAATTACTCATGTAAAGAAACCGTTTTTTTTTGCTTTCCTGTAGTCAGTCTTCACTCAGCAGTTACTGATGACCTTACTGTGTGTCAGATACTCTGTTAGACACTGAATATAGAAAAGAAGAGAAACAAATGAGTTTTTGTCCCTAGGAATGACAGGGACAGTCTGGCGGTAGAGATAACAGAAACAGAAAAAGAACATGAAGATCCTTCCAAAACACAAGCTCAAGCAACCCACAAAAAAGAAGTGCGCTTTCCAGGTCACAAACACAGTGTGGGTGTGCTGGAGATCAGGCTCTCTGGGAGAAAATTTTAGGGTGAATGTGAGAAGCGACTCTGCCTGTCCAAAACAGACACCCCCCGCTGACACAGAGACTGAAAAGATCGATCTGCAATGCTGGGACAGGGAAAGCCAAACTTGTGGGCTCCAAATGTCCTGGCATGAAAGATCACAGGCAGTTTCATTCTCTGACTCTGAAGGAGTTCCCTATACAACAGGAGCCTGGCTCCTGAGGACCTACATGGAGAGCCCTCCACCAGGGAACTGCATGGAACCATGGGTTCTATTCAATGTCACAGAGCTGTTGTGAAGAATAATGGAATTAATGACTGTAAGGCACCTGGGACAGAGACTGGTGCTTCATACAGTTACAACAGTAGGTTATTATAGTACACCTATTACAATGATGCATCTCTCCAGTCCTGGACTGGACCTAATAGTTCAGCCTAAAGAAGTTATTTAATCTCTTTAAGCCTGTTTCTTTGTCTTTAAAATAAGAACAGTAAGTAGCCCCCATGCAGATTGAGAAACAGTGGATATGTCTTAAAAGCTACTATATTACCGGATAGGAAATTTTTGGTGACCACTATTAGCCGGCTTGATACATTGTAAATAACTGCTCGTAGGACAGGAAAGAGCTAGAGAAGAAATCATAACTAGCACAGTGCAACTTGCTGAGAAGAAAAACTGTTAATAATGGCACTTACTAAATGTAGGTCTGCACTCTAAGAGCTTGGAGTATTCTTTTATTAAAACCTCAGAACGTCCCTAAGGAAGTGTGTTCCTCTGTGTTACAAGTGGGGAGATTTGGGACAGAGAGAGGCTATATTACTTGCTCTATCTAGGCCATAAAGCCAGTATGAACAGCCAGACTTCAAACAGAGATCTACAGAGCTCCACAGGCTATGCTTTTCATGCTAGGCTGAGTGCTGAAAAACAAGGGGTAATGTAAGTTCCTCTTACTGAGGCAATGTCTAGAAAACCTTTTGCCTGAAACCTAGAGAGAACTGTGACACCAATTCATGGGTGGTGACTATTTCAGCAGGCAGAGGTATATACTCCCTGGAATCTAGGAAAAAAAACCTGCACAACACTCTCTCTCCCTCAATCCCTCCCTCCATCCATCCCTCCCTCACACATACACACAGCATTCAAGAAAAATGCAATTTTCTGGGTGTATTAAGACTGACTTCTAAGTTATCTTCTTTAGCGACTCTCGTACTCTACTTATACCCTCTCTCAAATTCCTACACATATGCTGCTTCTTTTTTCTCCCCCTCAGTCCCTTCCAAATGCCACTTCTTCCCCTGTAAAGTCTAACCTAACTTCCACACCACCCTCAGACTCTTCTCTTCTCTCCTCCTCAAGTACGGGAAGTTAACACAGTGGACACAAAGAGTACTTAGGGGGAACAGCCAGCCAGTTCTCTGGTTCCTATTTATGCCACAAATGTGTCTGCCTGCTGCGTGTACAACTATGCAACTGCGTTAAGGCTGAGAGTTGTGCAATAAGACCTTCTTCTCCCTACGTGGAAAGAGCTGACATTCTAGCAGGATGTGTAAGACAAAAACACAATACATTACAAAAGGAAAAAGTAGAATAATTGGCACCAAAAGGAAAGACAGAGAGGAGAGAGATGGATACAGAAAAACTGGTCTGAATGCTGGAAACAGAAGGAAATCTGTGGGCAAAAGGAAAGTACGGAAAGAAGTCCTGAAGGACAGGGTCTAGGGCAAACATAAAGAGCAAGCAATCACCTGACTAAAGTACAGTAAGGCATTAAGGAGAAGGGGAGAAAGATGCACACCCAAGTCATGAAGCTGGTAACGTCTTCCGTCAGCAACTGGGAATCACGGAGGCGGAAGGAGAATTGCGGGTTGTGAAAACAAACACAGCCAGCAGTATGCTTTTACTTCCCATCTGTCCTGACTACGATGTCCTCCTTCCTGCCATCTGTGATTCACTCAGATTAGGAGAAGCATCTTTCATATTCCCATATTCTAAAATACATACCACAATCATCAAATTTATAAACTCTTGTAATTATGGGTTAATATCAAAGATAAAATCCTTGACATTGTGAAATATATCATTAACTTTTGTATTTCCAACACTCAGTTAACATCTTAGCCAGTGTATTTAAAAATGGCTGTACTTCAGAATCATCCAGGAAGCTTTAAGAAAAGTACTGATGCCCAAACCATTCTACATGAACTATGTAAGAACCTCAAGGAAGGTGGGACCTAAGACCTGGTGTATGTTAAAAGGTTCTTCAGGACCCAAACAAGTAAGCACTCTGAGAATGAATGGTTAAAATCACACTGAAAACCAACAATTAGAAATCAATGGCTAAAGTCATTCAATAAACATTTCCTGGAAGGATGAGTGGGCAGACAGAGAATGACTGGGGGTGGAACTAGAAGAAATGGGACTGCTTTTAAATGGCAATAGGGGTCTGCGGCACAGTCACAGTCGTATTTTGGGGGGCAGAAATGCAAACTCACCTGACAAGAAATAAATCAGAATTTTGGGCTTCACAAACTTTAAAAGATTAAAAAACAAAATCAGACAACAGAAAGGTAGTGATTGGGATGTCTCATTTTTCCGTATTACCTTCCCTCCTCCTCCCACACTACTGTGCTTGAGTCTGGACTCTCATAAATATGCAAATAAATTTTATTTCTTCCCTTCCCAAAAATGTACGATACCTGTCATCCAGTTCAATCCTCTTCATACTATGAAGGTGCAAAACAGCTAATATTATTGCTACGAGAAATATCACTGCACAACAAACCCCTACGCTGATATAAAATACACGAGTGGAAGTGGTTGGAGCTGCATGTACAGGATCATCTGAAACAAAAATGAAAAACACATTAAGCGTCTTAAACAAACATGATTGATCGCTTTCTGATATAAAAATACACAATCAGTATCCTGTTCTTTGTGAAAAGATTCCCACTTCACGTGTTTATTCTTTAGTAAGATCAGTTACCAGTCAGGTGGTGGTGTATGGTCACCTAATTTTCTGGTGTTTTGGCTGTAGTTTTAAAAGGTTTGCTTTTGTCATTTGGTGTTTTTTGGACACAGGGCCTCACCATGTAGTCCAGGCTGGCCTCAAACTTGCAGCGATCCTCCTGCCTCAGCCTCCCAAGTGCTGGGATAAAAGGCATGTGTCACCATGCCTGGCTAAAAAAGTTTTAAATACAATTTTCTGGTGAATAAGCACAACAGTCATTCACAAGTGGCATAAAATTAAACCAGTGAACGGAATACTCACAGCAATGCTACCCAACAGAACTTTCTGCAGAGATGGAAACTTCCTACAGCAGCTGCCCCACAGCAGCCACTGGCCGCCTGTGGCAACGTAACACTGAAACGGAGCCAGCACAGCAAAGCTGAGGCTTCCATTTTATTCCACTTTAATTACATTTTTAAAGCTAAAAGGCCACATACAGTGAGTAGTTATCATGCTGGACAGCACAGATCTTTTCAGAGTACCAGAAATTATTTTGCTGTTAAAGTCTCTATTGATTAAATTATATACAGCTTTATATTATTTTTAAAAGATGCAGAAAGAACGCTCAGCAATAGAAAAATAATCTAATGACAGACACATGAAGAGAAGCAAACGGAGAAGAAGCACACAGAGACAGACGCATCCACACGGGCAAGTAGAGCGGGGGCGCACAGACAAGCAGAGCTGGTGCACTGGACGTCCACTCCGTTTTGGTGATGAACGTTCAGGGCACAGCTCTTACTGAATACAACTGGAGGAATCTGAAGTTACCCTAAGTAGATGGGAAACTACTGTAAGGCTTCACGCAGAGGACTGACACATGCAGTCACTTACAAAAGCAATTATGTGCTGGATGAGGACTGCTCTGCAGGGCAGCAAGTGCAGAAGCGTGGAGAGAAATTCTGAACAGATTAAAGAAGAAAGACCAAATAGTTTGTCGGACAACCAGATGTGGCTATAGCCTGAGTGAGGGCACAACTCTCAAGAATTTCTGTGTGTCACAGCAGAGCTGTTCACGCTGGGTGTGTGTGTGTGTGAGAGAGAGAGTGCATGTGTGACTGCACTATACAAACACTGCACAGAGCAGAGCATAGGACATAGTTCTGCTGGGCAGATCTGTCCACGCTCACCTCATTCTACCTCCAACTTCCAGGTCTGCATATGTTATGTCTCCCATTCCCACACTTTGACACTTCACCATGTCACCACTTGGTTTACCCTTCAGGTCTAAAATAAAATGACACTTTCCTGACAGAAGATGACTTCCTCAGAGGAAGTGACACGCTCCCGCCACCCCACACTCCCAAAGCCCCTTGTGTCTGCTGTCCCGTGCAGTGTGCCACAGTATGTTGCTATTGCTGCCCACCCCCGCCCATCTCCCCTGCAGCACTAGACACCCACAAGAGTACAGTGTGCTTGCTCACACCTGAATCCTCGGCCTCCTGCAAGTGACCCAGTGGATCACAGAGTCCCAGTAAGTGCTGAGTGGATAGTTAAGTAAGAAAAAAAGGAAGACTGAAGGAAGCAAGGAAGAGACAGCTGAGACCAGAAATATGTAATACAGTGCACAGCTGTTTGCAAGAAACAATAATCTGCTCTCATAAAAGAAGCGGGTAAAGTCACCAGAAATTTAGAAGTAAACTTTGACAGCAGTGATATTTTTAAAATATTTTTTTCCTCAGAGATAAATCCAAATGAAGTATTCTAACAAGAAAACAATCTCTCATTCACCTTTGAGAAAGGTCTACTTTCCACACACAAATACTATGTGCCTCCAGGGGTGATGGAAAGACGAAATAAGAAGTACACAGGACCACGCCTGAGCTATTCTTGCCAAAAGAGTTGACACTCTCCTGAATCTAATCAAGGGCAAATCTACCTCCCAGTTACAGGAGAGAGAAAAGAGAAAATGTTAAATGACACCGGGAGGCTGCAGAATGTGGGAAACATAATGGAGAAGTGATGTAATTTCTCTAATAAAAAATACTAATAAGGGGGGGCTACTTTCTGATTAATATAAAATATGTATCAACCAAACAGTATGCAAAGGCTTCATCTGAATCTTTATTCAGGGGTAATTTAAAAAAAACCAAAGATGCTTCTGATGCAAGTTAATCTGGACATGGACTAGCTATTAGGAATATTAATTACTCAATTCTGTTATATGCAATAAATCAAAATGAACATGATGAGTGATTATGGATTTAGATTGTTTTGAAAGAGATCTACACTGAACATTTAAGGGTGAAATGATACTAAATATGACATGTGCTTTAAAATACTCTAACCCTCCCTAGCTAACCGGAAGAGGAAGAGGTAATCAAGGGAAGGACACTGGCAAAATGATGGCTACTGAAATTAGGTGAAGGGCACAAAGGGGTTCATCAGAGCATACATTGATTTTGTGGACTTGAAATTTTCCCCTCAAAAAATGCTTAAGTCTACTTCCTGAAGAGAAGAATTTAGTATCTTTTTAAGATACTGCTATTAATACTATCTCAGAAGAATTAGTACCATGTGTCCATGTTCAAAATAAAAAGAGCCCGTTATAGTATCTAAACACAACCAATACCAAAAAACGAAACTGTATCTGTTCCGTGGGTTTAAATAATATACTATCTTTAAACTTGCACTTTCACCTAGATGAAATTATCTAAGGACAGAACCAGGCTACACATCAGATTTTTCAACCTTCTGTGAATAAAGATCTTACACATACTTTCCTGCTCATTCTTTAATAATGACCAGTCAAAAAGACATGATATAAATTCTTGCTTCTGTAAGTCTTCTGGCTAATTGTCATAAAATATGTACCACTTTTACGACTCAAAATAGTCTATATTCTAATAGTTTCACTTGACCTATATAACAATCTACAAACGGGAAAATAAACAGCAAGGTAGTAGGTACCATTTGACAACCTAGAAACTCTAAGCCTGCAAGCTGGATGCAACCATGTTCATACGCAATCAACCACCTTTTAAATCCCTAATAATGGAGAGAGGCAATACAGTAACACTTACAAATAGTTCTGCTAGTGTTTTTGTCCAATGCTGAAGTTTTTACTTCTTCAAGTTCTGAGTGAAAAGGAGATAAAAGATACTTTAGAGTCTTTCTTTTCCAAAAAAATCCTTAAATACTATAAAACATTTTCTGAATTTTCTCTAACAGTTTTGTGTTCTATCAGAATATTACCTGAACTAAGTAAAAAGACATTTGTTGCAAGATAATGAAAACTATGATATTCTGATAGGCATCAATAATCAGTCTCTATCAGTCTTAGCCAAAGGGTGTTGCTTATAGACACTCAATGAAAAACACTTTCTGTGACCAAGACACCTGGAAAAATCCATATCCTATACTGTCTGACAGAGGGTCACAGTGTACCTTAGCAGAATTTAGAGGCTCTTGGGAGTTGTAGAGTAACAGAACTAGTCAAAGCCATAATTCTAACTTTCATACTAAAGTAACTTTTTCTAGGCAGTAATACCCATTAGTGATTCTTACAGTACAGATATATTTTCCGTTGTAGACAGCTTTTTAAACATAATCTGAGAAACCACATAAATAAATATATTAGAATCACATATTAAAATAAGAGTGATGAAAACAGGTTGAATGACTGGAGTGACTAAAAGCAGAACAATACCAAATAAAGAGGCTGGTGCTGTATTAAAACAAATCTAAAATAGGATAGTAAATGACACTAACAGAGAATTTTAATATTAATTTTCATGTGCATATTAAAAAAGAGAGAGAAGGTACAGGATCATTCTAAACAACTGATCATTACCCTTGGCAGACAGTAGCAGTGCTGGGAGGAGCCACAGGCCACACCCGGTTAGCAGTGATACGCTATGGTACAGCCACCGCCCACCTCTGTGATGTTAGGAACTGGACGTCGTATGTCCTCACTGACTGGCCATGCAAGCTTAGGTGACTTCTCTAGGGTTTGTTCTCCTCATAGCAATAACATAATGACTAGGTTATATGAAAGAGCTTCTACTTATATGAAAGGCTCCTTCAGCTTTAAAATGACAGGAAAGCAAGTATATAACTAAATACACTAAAACTGAAAATGTACTAAAATACTAAAGCTAAAGATCCTAATTTTATAGTTAAAATGTCCGTTTAAAGGCAGTATGGCTTTTTCACTGACACGTACCTGGACAGTCGTCATTATAACCCACTTGCTAGCTGGCCTCGGGTGTTTTCTTAACACTCAGCACAACTTTCAACTAGGAAATTTGCTAATAGGCAGTTTAACGAAGAAGCCAAGAGCACAGTCTGCAAACTGGCCACATGGCTTAGCTATCTGACCTTAGCAAGTGAGCCAGATCACCTGAATCTCAGCTTTCTCTTGTATAAACAGAGATATGAGAGAACCTATTGCTGAGGGCTATTATTAAGGGGTAAATGAAGTTAACGTAGGTTCAGCAAGCAGAACACAGAAACCATTCAGTAAGTTTAGGGATTTTTCTTTCCCCATCTTAGTTACTAACCGGCTCTACCATATAAACTGAGGTCACTTTACCTTTGTACATCTTAGGGTGAGTGGGTTAGGCAAGATAACCTTTAAGGAAAACTCTTGAATTTTTTAATCCATGACCTAAGGTGCTGGAATTCATTCATATACACTGTGATTTCTTAAAAACCAGAACAATTTGAAACCACAAATTAGTAATATTTACTAAGTATCTACATGTAACATTCTAAGTTCTAGGCTAACTTTAATTAACTTTTAAGAAACTACTCTAAAACAGGTATAACAGACATTTTACAGTGAAAAACCAGAGCCCAAGACAAGTTAAGTAACTGTCTTAATATTGTAAAAGAGCAGGACTGTCCTTCCAACATTCTGTCTAACTCAGGGCAGTGACTGCATAAAAGTAACTTACAAACAAAATACAGTAACACTTGGTTACTTGGAGGCCTTCTCAGATTTATGTTATTTCTTTAACTCTTCAGTCATTTCAGTATTACTCCATGTTCCTAATGGAACACATCCCAGCAATTCTGTGAAAAGATCTGAGAAAGCAAGGCGAGGGCGTGTGAGAAGCCTGCTATAAACTCTGGAAATTAGCTCAGAATTTCAGCTACCGGAGTTCTCTTTTGTCCTTTGCAACTAGAATCAAGATTTAATCTATAAAAAGACAAACTATCACTGAACTTGTCATATCAGCATAAAACACATTTCATTAAATAAATTCCTTACTTTTGTAGCACATTTTCCTTCGTTTAAAATTTAAGACTGTAAAATTTTTTGAAGAATTTACTGTCAAGTTGAGCTGCATTAGTATCATAACTTCAGAATCTACTTTGCCAGTACAGGAAAGCTCGACCCGAAACACTGTTTAAAAGGAATAAGAAAAAATATTTTAATTTCCTGAAAATCAACATTAATGCCCCCAAAACTTCTCAGTGACCATTTTAGATTGACTTTTGCTGCAATAAAACTGAAAATAAGCCAGGTATATAGCTCTGTGGCACAGTGCCTGCCTGGAAAATGTAAGGTCTCAAGTTTGATTCACAGTAGCAACAAAAAAAAAAAAAAAAAAAGGAAAATACTACATTCAAATGAATTAAACAGCTTTGAGAGAGGCCAGATCTTTACATCATTTTGAGTTCTAGACATTAAGTATTTCATTCATTACAGATATGAAGTGCGGGAAAACAAACAAGAGAAAAATAAAGAAACAATTACTTTCAAATTTTACTTATTTTAATTTATCACTTTGTCTCTTAAATCCTGCTATTCCAAAACACTGAAGCTACAGACTCCCAAAGCAAACCCTGTTGACCTCTCGGTCACATCAGAACAGTAACAAAAACTGCGTGATAAATGGGAAGATAACTCAGTACCAAAAAGAATAATATACTGCTTTAATGAAAAGGTTACATGTTAAAGAAAACACAGGGAGTACAAATCTGTAAACAAGTATAAACCTGTAGAAACAAACAAGTATGAGCCTGTAAACAAACTGTTTAAATTCTCAACTATGAATTAAAAGCATTAGTTTTGAAGTAGAAACTGGTTTTAATAAAAAATGTAACACGTGGATAACTAACTTTAGAGAGTATATTCTTAATCTTTAAGATTCTTTTCCTATAAATTCAGAATATATCATTCTACCATCTGTGTGAATGTACTAGAGACTCAATTAGAGCTCATTTCTGAACTTCTTTACCAATCTATAAAAATCAATTGGCATTCCTACGCTTCCTTAATGTAAGAATGCCAGGAAAAGTCCCACAACACTGCTGTGGCTTAGACTTTCAATTTTTTTAAACATTTCCACTTATTTAAAAATCTCTGTCTTCAAGATCCTTCCTAAAAAGTTAGCTCAAAAGTAGTTAAACTGGTGTAAATAAGATAGTTATTGTATTTATTCAGACAAGTATTGCGTGCCCATTCCATACCAACTGCTATTCTAGGAGTACGGGAATTACCAGATAACGTAATCCAGGGGCGGTGAACCTATGGCATGAGTGCCGCAGCTGGCTGTTGGTATCACTGAAAGCTCTAAAAGGTTCTCCTTCACTGACAATCAATTCAAAGACAGTTAAATACAAGGTTCTATGGGGCAGGAAAAACTTAAACAATGGGGAGGGAACAAGGCAGGAAAAGACTGTGCACATTCTGCATCATGTAGAATACGTAGGATGGGTAATTCATACTCAGGAAAAAAGACAGTTCTGAATACAGAAACTAGCACGTGCTAAAGCATGGATCTGAAAACTGCATGTAATCTGGAACTGCTGGAACGCGGGGCCAAGTGCAGCAGGCAAGGGTAAATAACACAGGATGCAGTGCACAGGCAGAGGCATCTGGAATGTACGGAGCTGAGGAAGTAGGAAGCAGTGAGGGGCTCGATGCCTGTGGTCAGAGGTGAGTGTACAATGACCGTCTGGGCCACAGTGTGAGATGTGGGAATTAGTCCAAGAGGAGCAACACCAGACACAGGGACTTGTGTGGAGATCAGTGCCCTAGCAATGTAGAAAAAGACAACTGACAAAGTTCTAAGGATAGAAAGGAGGAAACAGTCTTAAAACACAGTACAAAAAAAACTCCAGAATTTATAAAAGTTACTTTTCACAGCTGGACACAGTGGTGTGCACCTATAATCCCGGCACTCTGGAAGTCTGAGGCAAGAGGACCACAAGTTCATGCCCAGCCTGGCAACTTAGCAAGACCCTGTCTCAAAGCTAAAAACACAGGTGAGAAGACAGTTAGAAGGCCCTGAGTCAAATCCCAGTACCAACAAAAAAATTACTTTCCACAGTACTTACACATTTTGTATCTGCGAAGATACACTACACATCAGTGAACTGATCATTATAAAACAGGATGTGGAAGATACCATTGAACAGAGTATGCTAACTCTGCTTTGAGACTTGAGAATCTCACCTGATAAAGTGCGTGGAACTTCCCCCTGAACAGAAATGTTGACCTGGGGCATGTCCATAGCCACAAAATTATCTATTTGGAATCCCAGTTTATATTCAACCTGTACGATGGAGAGAAATAAACAAAATGGACATGGAATAACAGAAAGAACACTTAACAGTTTGACTTCATTAATTAGGTCATTAGTGCATGAGCCTTTCATATGTACAAATAATCCCGCTATCAAAAAAGTCCCAGGGATGAGGAAGTAGCTCAGTGATAGGGCATTTACCCAGCATGCTTGAGGCAGAAGCTCCAGACAGTCAGATATGAAGCACGGAGGAGTTGAGATACACAATCTACAAATCATAATTATTTATGAATTTTGTTTCTATTTGGATAAAAACCAAGTTCTGAGGGACTCCATGGAGCCTGCAGATGGACATGTCTGCTCTGCAGACCTACGCCTAGTAAGCAGATCCAAGGCATGAATGTCACAGAGTATCTAAGCCAATTCTCTAGTACAAGAATCGTAACTGCTATGATTTGGGTGCTGACTGTTCTCCAAAGGTCCGTGTGCTAAAGGCTAAGTCCCCAGGGTAACACTATTGGACGGTGGGGGAATCCTTACAAGGTAGAGCCTAGTCCTTGGGTGTCCCTCCCAAAAGGATTATGAGAACCCAGCCCCTTCCCCTTCCTCTTTGATTCCTGCCCAGGAGGTGAGTGGTTGTTCTACCAGAAGCTCCTGCCAAGACGTGCTACCACAGATCCCAAGCCAGTTCAAATCATGAATCAAGATCAGTTCAAATAATAAAATCCTGTCATTTGCAACAACACTAATGAAATTAGAGATCAATACATTAAGTGAAATAACCCAGAAACGAACAAGTACTGCATGATCTCACTCATATGTGGCATCTAAAATTGTTGCTTTCAGAGACACTGAGAACAGAATGGTCATTACCAGAGGCAGGGAGGGGAGGAAGAGAGGACAGGGAAAAGTTGTTCCTGGGTACTAAGCTATAGTCAGAGCCTCATAGACTAGAACTAGAACTTCAAAACCGAGACAATAAACCTTTTTTCTCTATAAATTCATTATCTCAGGTATTTCACTACAGTAACAGAAAGCTGAGTAACACAACTGCTATGAAAGTTCGTGTTTGGATCCCATTCAGACTTCTACCTCTCAAGTAGTTCAGAATTTAGGAAGGACCTCTAAGATGTCCTAGAATATCAATATTAACTATCACTACCTGGCCTACTCAGTGTAGCTTACTAGACCCAAACAATATCAATAAATATGGCCCTGTTGCTACTGAGGATTCACAGGAGAAACAGCTTGAACTACAAAGCAATTGCTGCAATTCAAAATAGCAGCCTCCACCAAGACCTTCAATAAGGCCTGTATTTCCTAGCATTCTTTGTCTTGCCATGCAATCTTACTTAAGAATATAGGCATTCCCTGTTTAATGACCAAGTTACCATCCTGCAAGTAGGTCATTAAATGAATTGGGTGCTAAATGGGGAACTGTATATACTATGTACATTACAATATTCAGAACATAGAAATGATCACAGAATCTCCAACTTGCTGGGTTTGCTTTTATTTGCATAAATCTTTTTTTTTTTTTTTTTGGTCTTTTTTGAGACAGGGTCTCACTATGTAGTTCAGGCTGGCCTTGAACTCACTTTATAGCCCAGGCTGGCCTCAAACTCCCAGCCACCTCCTGTCTCAGCCTCCCGAGTGCTGGGATTACAAGCACGTGCACCACCATGCCCAGCTATTTTCATAAATCTTATGTACAGTACTGTAACATAGAACATAAAATTACAGTACCGTACAGTACAATCAGTAAAAATTATAATACTGTATAAAAAAGATGTACTGTACAAAAAAAAGACAGGCTGTACAGACAAGATGTACAGAATTGCACACACACACAAAAAAAGATGGCTCCTAAATTCAAGCTGTGGGTTCTATTCTGAACAGCATGCCTTGGTTGTAAATCTGAATAGTCATTAAATAGTAGGCCCTTAAACAAAGACTATCTGTAGTAGTTTTCTCCCATTCAGTGATCACAGGGTGGTTTGGGTGGAGGAGAAAGACTGACAGAGCAATAGGGCAGTGGGATGAGAAAAGAGTGGGAGGAAAGAGGTATAGCAAAGCATTCTAAGAAACTTACAAAGAAACACCTGCACTCCTGTGTTCATTGTAGGACTTTTACAAGGCCACAAAACAAAGACAACATACATGTCTGCCAACTGACCAACAAACAAAATGAGGTATACATACACACAATGGAGTACTCTGCCACTTTAAAAAATAATAAAATCCTGTCATTTGCAACAACACTAATGAAATTAGAGATCAATACATTAAGTGAAATAACCCAGAAACGAACAAGTACTGCATGATCTCACTCATATGTGGCATCTAAAATTGTTGCTCTCAGAGACACTGAGAACAGAATGGTCATTACCAGAGGCAGGGAGGGGAGGAAGAGAGGACAGGGAAAAGTTGTTCCTGGGTACTAAGCTATAGTCAGATAAGGGTAAGTTCTGGTGTCCTAATTCACACCAATGATAATATATACGTCAAAAAGCTAAAAGGGAAAAAAATGCAGTGTTTTTATCACACACAAATAATAAATGTGTGAGAAGACGAGCACATTTACGTGTCAGGGCTATGCTTGTAGCTGGGATGCAGTGAACAATTAAACTACTTTTTTCCTCTCCAGCCCAGCCACGATCAGTGATTTTCACATTTCCACAGCCTGTGCCCCAAAGAGCACAACATTATTGACACAGCCACACTGATGCTTTCAACTGTTCCTCTCCCTTTTCCCTTGGAAGGAAACACTGTTATTATAACTGCCCCTTACACTACTCCCGCTGTCAGACCCTGCAGGAGATCATCCTGGAAGTGCTCTGACACAGTGACCCCAGGCCCAGGGCAGGTCCCCTCTCCATGCGCTTTCCCACTCCAAACCTCCTAGGCCTTACTGGTTCCCCATCTGCTGTCTCACTCTCAGACAGTGCTCTTGTGCCTTTCAACTAACACACAGCAATGTTCTTCCTGTCCTTTTTTCTTTTTTTTTTAAGCACCAGGTAGATCCGTTATAGCAATCAACCTATGCACTCCAGTCCCAAGGAAAAATCCACTCTACTATTCAAATAATAGGTCTTTCTCTCTTAGAAGACAAGGTTCATCAACCTCTCTTATTCTTTTACCTTTAATCTCTCACATCTGTCCAATTACCTACTAAACATTTTTTACCTTATATCCTGCAGCCCTCAAACTTAACAGATTCAGGTCCAAATTTATTAATTTCGCTAAACCTGCTCTAGAGTCTCTCTTATTCTAGGTCTCAGTGATTGCCAACTAGAGGAGCTGCTGCCCAGAAATCAGAACCCCTAAGTGAGCAGGGAAGGACACAACCAAGGAGTCAAGAGCCCTTGCTGCAGTGCTGCAGGCAGCAGACAGGACCAGCACCAGAGCATCTCAGTGCAGCAAGGGAGAGAAGGGAGATTGGGTTGAGTGGAGTCCAGCAGATGAAGCGAAATGGGAGTGGAGCAAACAGGCTGCACAGGAGGTTTCAGAAGGCCTCGTTTGGCCACACCCGCCGCTAGAGGAATGTAACGGATGAGCCTGTGGAAGCCTGCCCCTTACCAATGCACCCTTTCTGAGAGACTGTCTCAGTATGGCACATTCACAAGGCAGTTCTCTTCTCCCACTGCAGTCCTTAGGATATCAATTTTTAAGCTGCAGTTTCTGGGATCAGAAAAGAAACTGCCAATTACTGAAGTACAACTGTTTCCTAACTTAGCATGTATTGATCTTTAAAGCATCTCCTCAATCACCCGTTGAGGAAACGTGTTTACAGGCTGAATTTATAATCTACTAGAATGAGAAATTTGAAATCATCTGTTTATCAGGAAAAAGAATGAGTCAAAACACTTCAGAAAAGAAACTAGAGAAAATATAAATATTTGAGTAAGCTAAAAAATAAATATACTTTGTAATCTCCCCTTACTTGGAAATAAATTGCAACTGCAAACAGGCAACTGATGAGTAAACCTATTTCTTGTTGGGACACAGACAGTACATATCTAAAGTGAATACACTTGGTCGCAGCCAGTTTCTCTGAAATTCTCAAGAGTATTGCCTTTCTTATAGAAACCTCACTCCACAGGGGACAGACACAGCAGGCCAGCCCCCCCGGGACAGCTGTCAGAACTCTGACAAGCTCCCTATGGACTGTCTTTGACAATGACTGAGGACTCCAGAAATCAGAGGATACAGGGTGAGCAAGGGTAGGGGGAGTATTCTACTACATCTTAGTGTATTTTTACCCTTTGGTCACAGAAAATAGCTACTGATACTTAGATGGAGTTGTGTATTTCTTTCCTAGACATTGGGGAATGTTCTGAAATAGAGAAGAATCTAATTATCTGTCAGAAACACCCAGTAGTTTATCTTAAAAAAAGCTTTAGTGAGCAGGTAGAAAAGACCATTGTGTTAATTGCATTTCAAGCTGGAGGTAGAACTTTGGTACTGATTCTCTTTCACAAGGCCCTATCTCTTCCCCCAACTCTTTGATGTGTGAAAACTAATGGTAAAATATCTACAATGTTTAACTGTAGAGATAGAGTCTGAACATCTTTGGAAGCAAATATTTCATCTTCTGGCAACATTTTAAAAGGCAAGAACTGACAGTTTCTGATAAAGTGTCAGAGCTTGGGCGCTGTGACCTTCCTTCTGAAAGTTCAGAATGCATCTCAAAAGACAAATAATCTGGTGAAGAACTCATCCTTCTTGGATGACCTTCCCATTTCAGGTCATCTCTACCTCCTGCTTCTGCCGCTCCTACTGCTAGTTTAAACAAGTTTCTCCCCAAATCTGGGTCTTAGTTTCCTCTCATCCGAACTGATCAACAAAGGAAAGTGTAACTATGTAAGAAGTGTAATTTGGTCATCTAAAGGGAGGAAAATGCAACTCCACACAAAGGAGCAGAGAGCCCTTCCCAGGAAGCACTGTCCAGTGCTCTGCAAATAGCACAAGCGCACACAGCACATTATTTAAAATATACATGCACTCAAGCAAACATAGACGTTTACTTA